GAACTCTGAAGTGTTTCTGTTGATAAAACTAATTTAATTAAGTTATCATCCGATTTGAGTGCAATGACAATCATTTATGAACTATTATCAATCTTCAATCTATTACAAACCCGTACGCACGCAACAATATTATAATTCATTAATGTATTAAAATTGTTTTGAACATGTTTTGCAAAACAAAAACAGGCAAAGAAAAATTTTGCTAGCATTTTATGAGTTTTTGCAAGTTTTCTGCCCACATAAGGTTTTAAAAAAAGGTTTATATTTACCAATTGAATTTTATGCTTATATTTACCAATTGAATAAATAGTACTACGTTTGATTTATATATATGTGTGTGTGTATTGAAATTCAGTAATAAAATTTTAAAGATTTCAAATGATTAAATGTCTATTTAGACCGTTTGTATTCTTTAAACTGCAATTGAGAAACCTTTTGCATTTTTTCGATAAAAAACCTTTTACAAAAAAAGTCCTAAAACATATACAGTATGGACTAAATTATTATGATTTTACTGCTTCTTTAATTAATTACTTTATAAATGAGGATGGGTTTTGCAAAATCCTGAAAGAAACATTATTTGAAATGAAAATGTGACTGAGATTAATTTTGTTTTAAGATTTTTAGGTATTTTGTTTTTTTTTTTCTCAGAATTAATTCATTAATTGCAAAATTTCCTTGAAGTTATTAAAATAAAAAAACAGGGGGGGGGAGAGACACTGAAATTGTAGGAGAAGTTTTAATTGTAAAAACTTTTCTTTCAAAAATTTTTAATTAAAAAAAAATTCTAGCAAAAACTTTTTTTTCGCTTATATTATTTGTCTCTCAAAACATTATATAATAAAGTAAGATGAAAATTTAAATTTTTTTTAAAAAATCATTGAATACCATTTCCTTGTCGCGTTGAACCGATATGCACTTGTTAACTTTAGTTTTAATTTGAACGATATTTTCTTTAGCATCATAACCTTATCTGTATTTATCTATAATCTTCCATACCTTGGAGTTTTATCTAATTTTTGGGTGGATGCTATCAAGTCCCGACATTATCAGCGTTCAACTGACAGTCCATCAAGCAGTAACTAAAATTAAGTGAACTGTGCATTTGCACAGTAAAGTACGGGAAATCTCTCCCCTCCCGAGAGGTAAAAAAAAAAAAAAAAAAAAAAAAAAAAAAAAAAAAAAAAAAGTAAAAAAAAAAAAAAAAAAAAAAATAAAAAAAAAACAAAAACAAAAAAACCGTTTTCGCTACCGGTCGAATCTGCTCTTGTGAACGGGGCTTCAGAAACCACATTCACTTTACACAACACTATAGACCAGAATTACAATATGTGTATAATGTACACCACATTGTCAATCAACAAATTTGCATGTTTCCAGCACAAACGTATTAGCGGAAATGCAATTTTGTGTTCAACTGTTATTTAATTCACATAAATAATTACAGCACTGGGCATTGGTTGCATCATTAAAATAGTGAGCATATTTTTTTGCATTATCTTTTAATTTTGATGACCAGTGTATTAAGCCATATCAACCTGAATAGAATGGTTAATCTCCGATGGATTTTTTTCTGTTCCTGCTTGCAGCATTCTGCCATTTCTGCAACATGTTATACAGTATTTTCTCCCTCCTTTCCGCATGTCTTTATGGTGTAATTGAAAGCATACTCGACAGGCTCAAGTTCGATTCCCAGAGAGAGCATTGCACATTTTTCATGTTTCCTGTTTTGAAATACCTAATGACTCTACATTGTGATCACAAAGAACAAAGCATTCATGGAATTCCCCCCCCCCCCCCCCGAGTAAAATGCCTGTTTTACTTCAGCAAACCTTCAGACATGATACATTGAGTAAATCATAACTGAAAAAAAAGTAACATGTCCAAGGAAGAGTGCTATGACTTGGATAACCATTGATGAACAGAAAATATTAAGAAAAAGTAATAGGTTTTTAATGAAGACTGTCAGAAGTTTATTCACCAAATTTCTGAAGGAACTCTTGTTCTTGGGAAAAAGTAACATAGTTCTTGTGTCTCACTTTGCTACTCGCAAAATCTTCTAACTTAATGCAGTTTTTTTTTCTATTTCCATGGATAAAAATAGCTCTCAGAAAACAATTCAGCGGCTGAAAAAGGCCACTCAGTGAAGCAGATGTAGTGCAAGAGAATTTGCTGCTAGCCTTGAATAACATTATGGATCAAGAGTTCGAGAACTGTTTCCATGTTTCCAAAAGTGGGGGAAATACAGTGATGATAATGGAAAGTATTTTGAAAAGAATCTAAAACATTTATGTGCAAAGTATAATTACTTTAAAATAATTCCAGTTATCTTGGATACCTCTTGTGTTTAAATTTTGTCTAAATCAATATAATAACAACAAATGCATATATTCATAATTATTTATACAATTTTACAGCACACTGTTTTATTTTAAGGATGAATATTCTAGGCAGCAAAATCACTAGAAGCAGGGACAAATTACTTTTATATCACCATAATAAGAAAAAAATTTACCATGGTGTACTAATCATGATCTCGGATTCTAGAGTCCTTAGGTTCTGGAACATGATCATGTTTAGTTTAATTGATGATATGATAACATTCCTTTCAACATGTTTAAAATTTATTAGAAAGTCCATGTGGTCATTGTATTCCACAGGTAGTCTTGTTTTTGATTGATTTTTTAATACTTCAATTACAAATTCTTTACTGTCAAACTGACATACATCTGTTAAGACATATGCAATTACTTTTGGCATTGCTTAGATGAAAATGTCAAATGCAGCGACTCCTAAAGAGCAGACTACATGGCAGATAAAAAATTCAGCATAAGATCACTTGTTATAAGATAAATCTGAACCCTCATGAATTATGTATGCTACAAAAAAAGAAGAAAATATTCTTCACCAAATCTTGTCATCATGACGGCCCAGACAGATAAATACAGTTATAATCATCAAATCTCTCTATCAATACCCGAATGCCTGTAGATATTAAACACACTATCTAAAATTTAACTAACATCACTACAAGGGATAATGTTCAAAGGTCTTTCTCTTTTTTAAACCAAATAAAAGGACATCTGGACTTATTTTATGTTTGTCTACCTAAGTTATAACTCACAATGAAATATGAAAATGATTTGGAATTCATGTTATATACAATCCTGAAGGAACAAACTTCAGAATTTCTTTTGCTTAGTTCATCAGTGGATGAAGGCCATTGCCCCTTTTGCAGTTTACACATAACTAAGCTCCAGTTGGGATGCATGAAGATGTAGTGTAAATATGCACTATTTTCATTTAAAGACAGCCTTTGCTTATCTTCCATAGACGACAGTCTTTGCTTATCTTCCATAACCAGACAGTCTTTGCTTATTTTCCGTAGATATTTAAATATCTTTGAATTGTAAACCTCATCAATTTTCCATGCTTAGTAATTTTAACAACAGCAATACTTTATTTTTTTTAACAGTCACAGGAACAAATCCTAAAAAAAGGAGAAGCAATTTGAAAACAAGAAAAAGAAGATAATAAAATCAATGGGTTGCTTATAGGCAATTTCAAAAGCTGCATTTTTTTACCTCACCAGCCTACCCATGGAAAAACAAAATTTTTTTTTAATGTTTCAATAAATGAAATATATATGAAACGAAATGAAAGAGCTGATTTCTTAGCTAAAGATGCCTTAAATTTACCCATTGATATCAACATTAGCATTCCAAAGAGCTATTGGAAGTCCTTTCATTATAAAAAGCTTTTAGCTATGTGGAATGAGGAATACATTTCATCTTGTAATGCTGAAGTCACCAAAAAGTTCCTTCCTTCTATTTACAATAGACTGAATTCCGAGTCTTTCCTCTCGTTAAATTTTAAAGTGTCTCAGTTTTTATCTGGTCACGGTAAATTTGCAAGTTATCTGTTTCGTTTTAATTTACGATCAAACAATTTATGTGAATGTTTCAAAAAGAGTTTCCTCAGGATGTGGAACATTTGATTTTCTCGTGCCCTACATTTGATGGCCCTAGATTATGCTTACAGAACGATTTGAAGATGTTCGGAGTGACTTGGCCAGTGAACTTATCTGTTTTCATGAAGTCCAGACTGCTGTTCTCTGCTTTTGTTCGCTTTATTTATGCATGTAATTTTTAATGTTTATTTATATATGTAACCTTTAATGTTCTAGTTAACTTACTTCTGTAAGCCCCGTGTTGTACATATGTGGTGCACGGGGAGGAGTCTGTATGTTTCTCAAAGGAAAAAAAAAAAAAAAAAAATCTGAAAGTTTTCAGATTTTAAATTACGTCCAAAGGGGCCGTTTTTTAACATTTGTGCGTGTTACCTTTCTTTATTAAATATCATGTTCCTCGCACTTAAACCATAAGATCCAGTGCAACAGCAATATCGCAAAATAGTTTTTAAAAACGAGCATATCTTTAGAATTTCCGATACAGAGACTCACGCGCTGGAGATAAAAATGTTTTTTTTTTTTTTTTTTTTAATCTGCACAACGTTGCCATTGCTCGCTTTGAAATCCTTGAGTTTGTTAATCAAAAATTCGTCAAAGTTTTAAAAAATAGGAAATCGATCATAAAACAAATTTCAAATTTCAAATTTGGTCTTCCACATGCTCATATTCGTTGGAGGATTACGTTATTCAAAATTCGATGACTCTATGTACCGTTGTTTTATCACAATACGAGAAATATACATACATTTATGCAGATTTTTCATTATTTAATTTCTTCAAATATAATGCAGGACTCTAACATTTTGTGGCAACAGTTTGAAAAGTGAACCGACATTTATGAGTCTGACGCAAAATGCCAAAACGAAACTAATAGTCCTTCGGGATTCAAATCCCTTTGGACTAAAAAAAACATTACTTCTAACAAAAAGTGATGCTTCTTTTTAACATAATTTTCTAATCAGTTGCTGCATTACTTAAAAAAATATCCATCTAATTACCAAATCAATTATATAATAATAATAAAACATACCTTTATTCCAATCCCAAATTTTTCAAGAGATGAACGAAATTCATCACAAAAGCAAAATAATGAAGATAATTTTCTGTTACTACAGTTTAAAGCTTCCACCATGTTTTCTTCTGTTAAGATTAAAAATTGGAGCATATAATATACAAAGCAAATAAAATTCAGATATACAGAAGGAATCATACATATATACAAAGTATATGGAAATGAAATTAACAAAGTTTTGTACAACATACTCCAAAAGTCAGAAACTTGTTGATAAAAGTTATCACAGACTTCAACAATAGGTGAGATATTCAAAGACTGCACCTGTTAAAAAAAAGAAAATTTTAACCAAGTAACATGATCTGAAAAACATTGTTCAGTGGACTTATCAAAGATATACATAAATCAAACTATTTACTATATATACTTTTTTGCTACAAACTCAATTTAACATTAAAAATGAAATTCTTTCACCTTCAATTTGTGGCCAAGATATCATATTTTGCAGTGATGATGATGATAGTGACAGCCACAAATTTGAAGGTTTTTAGTTAGCATAAGCAAAAATAAAAATTTTCCAATCGATGAAATTTGTGGAGAAGTGATAATAAAAACAGACGCTATGACAGAAGTTTTCTAGTGTGATGACAATTTCCCAATCATCAGTCAACTAATAAATGACAAAATCAACAGTATGATTTTAAATCCAGAAAACATCGCTACCAATACTGAAGAAAATGACAAGGAAATTGTTCAGAATGAAAAGATTTCGAATGACAGTTCAGAATTCTCAACGTAACAATTACAGAACTTGAAAAATGGATCTTTGTAACTGAACAAGAAACTATCAATTTATAAAATTAATATAAAAGTATTAGCACAAAAAAATAAAACAGCTTAAAAAACTTAACATTGAAGAAATGTTTAATAAAACTATAAAAGTATTTTCTCCTTCCTTTCTGCATGTTTTCGTGGTGTGATGGTAGCACACACTTGGCGCTTATTCAAGTGGTCTAGGTTTGAGTCCCGGTGGGATCATTCCTCATTTTTCATGTTTCTTGCTTCAAAAATAACCTAATGACTCCACAAAACTAGGGGAAAAAAATACTGAGCGTCCCTTCCCTACCAAATTTGGATTCCTTTAAGTTTATAAATGCTTCATCATTTCATATACAACTATTTAATTTCATAATTTCTACATATTATCTTATTTAAACTGATGATTTAAAGCCTGGAAATATCTGAAATTCAGAATTGCTACAGTAAATATATATATATATATGGGCTAGAATTTCCTTTTGACATCCAAAAGTGGCAATATGGCCATAAGCAAGTGGGCCGACTTCTTCTTCTTCAAGCTGCATGAATGAACTCTTTCTTCTTTGCGTGAAAGGATTCCACCAATTGAGACGGAGACGAGCAATGGCGTGAAATTTACGACGTAGTTTTGAGGAACCAGACACTCTAAACCTTTTTTTATGTGATGTGGCCCCACTTGTGTGATGCTATGGACTCATTTTTTCATTTTTCTATGTTCTATCTTTAAAACACTAAATCTTATTGCCAGTGTCATCATTGGGACAGAGTAAAATGACAGCTCACATGGAGGCTCGACCCCTTTGAACTCTGTGAAATTCTTTACTAAATTCCCCTAGAGGCCTGCCATTTTGAATACAAAATCTTTTCTCTTTTTTTTTTTTTCGTATGTTTCTCATGGAATGCCATGATGAATTCCCATTCCGTGCTGTGTCAAACATGCAAGTACGGATAATTTTATTTAATGTGCCTCTTGGATGAAATAATAAATGCTGAAGCAATAAATAAATGAAGTAACCAAATAAATTTGATGACGTTAAATGTCTTTAACCAAACACTGCTCTTTGATAACGTTATTATGAATATTTGATGAAGCCTCTGTGATGAAATTTAGTTTAATAAACGAAAGGAATTTAATTTTGATGAAAATGAATTGAAGAGTATTGTTTTGAAGATGATTATTTTGAAGAATTCTTATATTATTTTTATTTTGAATTATTGAATATTATTTTGAAGAATTAGTTTGAAGTATTATCTTGAAGAATTGTCGATCCTCTCATAAATTCTTTCATTCTTTAACACATTCGTTTTCAAATTTGATGCATATATTTGCTTATTTCTTTCGATGCCTACATTTTGAAAGCATTATAAAATGCTATTTGGAATTATTTGAAGTTAAAACGTATTTGAAGTTATTGATTTTGAAGTAATATCTTGAAGTGAAATTTAACACATATTCTCCATTCATATAAAGCTAATTTAAATTTAAATTTTAATTGCAAATATAAAAGATTAAACTTTTCTGTGAACTAATTTACAATATCATTTAAATTCTAAGAGGATATGTAAATAACGGAAATTTATGTGATTGAGACGAGCTATTATAAAAGTAAAGAGGGAGCTAACCTACAATACAGTGAATTTTTAAAGTAAAAATTCTTAACTCAATTTTTGGACAGGAAAATTAAAAAAAACTGGGAATCTAAATGGTATTGCTAATTTAAATCACTAAAATTTTAAAATTTAAAATGAACTATTATTATTAAAAAAGATACTGCAAGTTAAATTTTTTTAATAAAGTTTTTTAAAAATAGAATTAAGTGTATAAAATTATTAAACCAGTAAACTAAAGAAATTAAATTAAATAAAGAAAACCAAACTATTAGAATTTGAAAATGTAGTTACGTTTTGAAAAAAGTGAAATCAAACAAGGTAATTAGTGTTAAAAGCTGCTAAGTACAAACAAAATTGTTTCACAAAAATATAGTAAAGTTAAAATAAAATTTGAATAATTCTCTTGTGCCATTGCTGCAAGGAATGAACTTTGAATTTAACAAATATTCTCTATTTGTATAAAGCTAATTTAAAGTTAAAATTTAATTATGAAATTTTAATTGCAAATATAAAAGATTAATTATTGCTGTGAATTAATTTGCAATATCATTTAAATTCTTTCATTTTCTATTCTTACAATATAGTTTACAATTTGTTTGAATTTGTATGCTCAAAATTCTAACTGTAATTTTTTAGTGTTTTAATATCATTGTTATTAACATTCCTTTAAGAATATTTGTGTAATATACTAAAAAGAATTAAGAATATTGTGAAGAATAAGAAACATTAGGAACATATTTCAGAATATTGTGTAACATAATAATATTTGTCTAATACATTTAAGAATATTAGTGTGCTAATTTCTTGAAACTGATAAATATTTTGCGAAACTGATATTTGGTAAAATCGAAACTGATAAATAATGGCTACCCTTAATGATTATCCCAACATTGCACGGCATTAAAAATCGCCAGTACACAGCATATTAAGCTCTTACATCATTTCATTTTTGGCACAGAAGATGATAGACAAAATTGTACTCGATTATGTAAATTTTCAAGCTTTCCCAAACCATTTAAAACTTTGACGATATGAAGCAAAAAATAATAAAATAATTTTCACTCATGGATTTAATTGCTATATGTAAATTACTATATTTAGAATTTTCTACTGATATTGAAAAGTGTGCTAATACAATCTTTACAAATCTTGCTGACATTTCATAATTAAAATGAGATCTGCTTGACCTTAGTGAAATTGATGACGAATTTTGGTGCAAAGTTCACCCTCAATGAATAGTGTAGCCAAAGTGAATATTAATCACACACCAGATGAATCTTTATGTAAACCAAAAATCTGTCTCGAAAGTTTTTATGGAACCAAAAATCTGTCTCGAAAGCACACCTCGAAATTCATTACTTCCAGCTAATCCACATGCTCAAAGTGTTTCTTTTCAATATTTTGGTTTGAAAGATATTTTTGGTTTGATTAAACCATTTTCCTCTTGCGATAATTACAGCATTGAAACTTTTATTTCTGATATAGAAGATATTTTTAATCTCTATCAGATAGTGAATCTTCACCAAGTAATTTTTGTTTTAAAAATGCCTTACAAGTCCAGCTTTAATAAGATGAATTCATGGATTTACTAATTGGGAACAATTAAAACACCATTTGTTAGATGAATTTTCAGAAAAAATTAATAGCCTTCAATTACATCAAATAATAGAATCTTGTCATATGAAACCATTTGAAACCTTACAAAAATATTTTTTAGCCATGACAGATCTCATGCATAAAGGTTGTATGGATGATTCTTCTCTGATTGAGTATGTTATAAATGGTATTCCTGATTCATCAAACAAAATAATTTTATACAGCTGTAAATCCATTCCTGAATTTAAAGAAAAACTGAAGATTTACGAAAAACTTTTTAACAGTTCAAAACATTTGAAGCAAACTACTCAAAAGAAATTTTCTAATTCTCTTCCCAATGTTAAAGAAGGGAATAACAACAGAATTTTTATAATCTCCTAAAACAAGGGTGTGTCTTTTGGTGTGTAGAGATGAGAATTTTTTAACTGCTTGATTAATAATGTTGGGTGAAAAGCCCCTGTCAATAGCTATTGCTTTTAAATAATTTAGTTCTTCATCAAGGGATAGTTTGGAGGAGCAAACTTGAAGAGCACGGAAAACATAGGAATAAAATGAAGCTAACTTTTGTTTAGTCGGATGACATGATTTGAAGTGCGATTAGTTTGGCCAATGTAAATTAAAGCTTCTTTCCATCAATTAGCTATAAAGTTGCACGTATTTTGTAGAAATTTAACTTTCGAGTCGTTTATTCTCCCATCAATAAAATTCCGAGTTCCATACTCAAGTACCCCATTCCGGATATGAATTCATGGGGTATTTACAGGATTCCTTGCCAGTGTGGTTTAATTTACATTGGCCAAACTAAGAGAGCCTTAAAATTTCGTGTTATGAACATGAGGCATATGTTAGAAAAAAGGGAACACAGAAGTCTTCTGTTGTTTAACATTGTTGGTCCGAAAATCACACTTTTCTGCTGCCAAAATATTCAAAAAACATCTTCCAGGGTTTGTACACATTTCTGCACACAAAAATTAAGGACTTTTAAGGACCATTAATGAAAAAAATTAAGGACCTATAAGAAAATGGGAACTGAATAAATTCAATTAAAAATATTAGTTATGCTGAAGTTCACTTTTGTAATACCATCCTAAAAATAAATTGGATCCATAAGTAGGATGCGTTACTATTAAACATAATTATTAATAAGTTTGAGAATAAAATCAGCTTTATGAAATTTATCAAGTAGCATTAAATATTTTACACTCATAATAACTGGACATATTTGAAAGAAGATAAGTGACATTTTATTTAGGTTTTACTAACAGTTAGTTTTATGTTGATTTTTTTTTAATGTCTCA